ATTTCTAATCTGTAAGATAAAAAAAAGAAGAAAGAAAAAAAATCGAATATATGCATGCAGAGGTGATAATCCAAATCCATAACTATTTGTTTTAACCTCTCTTTGTAAACAGGCTTCAGTGTTATTCATTTCATTACATATATAGCATTTAACTGATGACGTCTGAGTCAACGCATTACATACCTTACCATCCAACATAGTAAGCTGTAACTTGTGATCAATGTGTAATATTTTATCTTCTCTGTTAATAGTTGTAGGATTTAATAGGCATATTTTGTCTTTGAAGTACTTTTCTTCTTCAATGGATAATTCTTTTAAGAAACTGACTCGGCAATAAGTCAACATTTATATTATTGTTTATGAAGCTTCTTAATAACAGATATTGGTGGTTTGTCAGGTTTGCTTCTGCCATTAGCGACATAACTTCTGTTATATTTGCTGGCAAAATTGTGGGTGACTTTGGTTCCATGACAACTCGCAAATCTTCTGCAGCTGACACATTTGTTTCCGCCAGTTCAACTATTCTCCTGCGTTTCGTTCTAGACGAGGACTCTTTAAGACTCAATCGAGGATGTCCACGTGCTCGTTCTTCCAAAAGAGAATCTGAATATTTTTTTCTTAATAAAAACATTCATATTAGGAAATCCAATCAAAACAACAATTAAAACTTTAACTGAATTTCAAATTTATTGTCAAAATTAATCTTAAAAGCAACTTAAACGTCATCATCTTCTCTATTATTCAAAACTACTAAACACTCAAATTATTACACTAAAAATAAGTCAATACCTTGCTTTTCAATAATTATGCCGATATTTGTCTTTTTTAATTGTATTTAATTTTGTAACACAGTTCCATTTTCACTTCACTTTTGCACTGATCCCACTGATAAAAGCAACTAACTACATTTTCTCTTTTTTTACGCTTTTTAGGAGTTCACGTGTACGCATTTGACAATAAATATCTGATTTTAATTTTTTGAGTTTTGGCCAATGACAGCGACCACTGTGCGTTGTCGTTATCCAACGATCGAATTTTAGACTTCAAATGCAACAGAAATAATACTAATGTTTTGCGAATCGCAACAAAGGAGGAGGCGCACACAAGGATGGAAGGAGTGAGTGACAGCTTGGCGAACTTCACAACAAAAACGAAAAAGTTGTCTGGGGTTCAACGAATGGAGGCAGGGATCAGGTCCCCTGAGGAAAAGAATACTGCGAAGCCGATCGTCAACAACAAAATTTTTGTGTGTTTGTTTGTCTTTGGTCACATAATGGAAGGCGGTGATCTAATTTCAGCGGTAGCGGCATAAAGAGCAGCGGCAAAAAGAACGACCGAATGTTCTTTAAGCTTGCTACACATGCAAACATTGCCGTCCTGAAGAAGATTATCGGCCTCAAGCTGGTGAGGAAGAGCAAAATTCCTCGACTGACTAAAACGATGGTATACGACAGAGGATTTGGCAGTAAGTTTGAGACGGAACGTATGCTCGAAATCTTTGGAAGACAGAACAAGACCTTAGATGTGAAGAGATGGGAAGTCTTCCACAGGGAGGAGAAGGAAGGTTGCACTGTCCCTGTGATTGGATTTGACGATGAATCCATGGCCAGTTTGACAAAGACTAAGGACATTGCTTTCTATGTCTCGAACAAAAAGGGACAAGTTCTACTAAATTGTCTAAATACTAACGATCAAGCTTTGTAAATAAAATTAGGCGCTATTAGACATTTATTTTTGTTCAGAAAATCTCATAAACGAGATTTAGAAATAGATTGTTTCCTATGAACACTTCTTTTCGGATCATCGGTGTATAATATTTGAGTTAACCGGCCGCCGCCAAATCCAAAAAAAAAAATTATCGAAACAAATCCAAGACTGACAGGATGAAGTTTAGGAGAATAGTAAAAAAGGTTAGGGAAAGGAAACATTGAATACCTAAGCATGCGAACAAATTGACAGCGTAAATAATGCATCAAAAATTAAAACGTTTCTTTCTAAAACCCATACACAAGCCGAGAAAATGGTGGATGAGATGGGTAATAATTAGAAGAGACCCTAGGGCTTTTCATGAACACACACTTCCCACACAGCATCGCGACACCCGAAGATATAACGAAAGATAGGGACGAGAGCACTTTCGATAAAAGATCTGTACATGGTATGGCGGTATGCATTGATATCGAAAGCTTTTTCAATAGGTCAGCACGTCAATAGGAAAATAAAAGAGGCACTTCGATGAACGAGTCTTCCTGAATAAGACAATCAACATTTCCAATGATGTTAAATATCTGGGTGTGATTATAGATAGGAAACCTAAACCACATCCAAGAAAGAACAAATGAAGATGCTGGGCAACGTGCAAAAGGGCTATAGGCTCAACATGGGGTTTCAATCCAAAGGTGACACATTGGCATTCCAAAGCGTCATTAGACCTGTTGTAACATACGCATTAAAAGTATGGTGGACAGCTGTGGATAAAAAATGTGCTGCTTACGTATTTGTGGAGCAACTAGTGCTTTAGCCGCCGTCGCGTCTATAAGGATCAGGGCGACGGATGAGTGAATAAATAAAGGCCACGTGACATACCATAAAAACATTTTTCAGGTAACAACGGGAGAATCAATGGAAAACTCTTGTACCGGGCCGGATACATGAAACAATTGCAGCTGCTTCATTTGAAACAAAAATTCCCACCGGAGACTCGTGGATCGATGGATTCCTATCACCAATACCGACTGGAAAAAGTTGATTAACGACGTGCTAGGAGAAGAGCGTGACTGGGGCGTTTTTTGAAGAACAATATACCGTAATATCTTTCCGTTTGCCCGATCATAATACAATCATTCAAACTGAGGTCCGGGCGATTGCAGAGTGTCTAAGCCGACTTAATGCCAACACGAGACCGGCTACCATAAATTTTCTAACGGACAGTAAAATCGCTCTTGAGTCTGTCAGATAGAATACGTTTTGTCCGTTGCGGCATCGTATTTGACCGACAGCTGAGTTGGATGCTTAAATGTTAATGAAAAATGTCATATTCACAACGGGTATGTTGCGGTAACGGATTAAAGTTTGTTTACTTTCAATTTGTGACATGTTGCAAGGCTGGCACAGCTATTTTTCACTTTTGAGTTCACTTTTCTTATTAATGGATGCGGTGCAGATTCTACCTTGTCTTTTTGACAAAACAAAAAAACAGTGCTATATCACAAAAATAATGCTAAGTAAAAACCTGTGTCGGCTTCAACAAACACGACTGGTGAGTTATTTTTTTAATTCACATATTTAATATTGATATTGACAAGAGATATTTTATATTATATTGCAGTAAGATTCGCTAAAGGTACCTCCGGGACAGATATGTAAAGAAGGTTAACGTGTAGTGGAACAAAAGACGGGTATATGGATCCGATCTCTTTTTTTTTTTTTACAACGACACGTCGCTCCTCGCAGTTGATCAACATTTCCAATGAGATAAAATTGCTCAACATTGTCTCAAATCATAAACAATGTGATTTCGTCAGCTTTTAATTATTCAGTTTAAAGTGAATTGTTTTTAGCTTTTCGTATAATGAAATGATTTTTTTATTTTTAATATAGTAAAATATGCAAAGAAATACTAAATGTTTTAAATATTATTTCATGTGTATTTTTTATTAATTGCCGAATGGGATGTGTAATGACATAGCTCATAAATTACTCCTTCATACTTCGCTGCGCCACATACTATTAATCTTTACAGTGCCTTTATCTCGGTTGACATATTCTGGTGGAAATTAACTGCCATTATGCATTTTGAGAAAATTATTTGTAGGGATGACAACAAATCCTCCAGCGGTTGCCATACAGGATCGTGGCAATTGTTTATTAAATATTAAAAAAACCGTTTGGGAGCCACAGTTCAACGAGCAAGTTAAATTGACGTGCTTGCCATCAGTGGCGCCATTACAATTGTGTAAAACCCACATTGTGCAAAATCAAAGCACTTCACAGGTTTCTGATACTATTCCTTTCATCATTGACACTCCCATTTTAATGGCAGCAGAAAATATCTGCTTACTTACGCCATGAGACAAATATCTTAAATTTTATGGAAGTATTTAAGAATATTAACCGGACTCATACGATTCATGTATGTACATACGTTAAGAACTTACGCAAGGGTCATAAAAAGTCGACATTCTGGTGAAATTGAGTGCTTCGTTAATCCCTTTCGCGAAGTTCAAGAGGAGATCAAATGTATTCTCTATTCTTATGGATTTCTGGAATTCGTCTGGAAAGCAAAATGTGGTCCGAAAAATCCAAAAACTGTATTGGAATATAAAAATTCAATTACAAATATTCTCAACGCGGCTCAGTAGGCATTATATGGGTACAAGGTCATGCGGGAACTAGAGGTAACGAGATTGCGAACAACGGTCATGCGGGAACTAGAGGTAACGAGATTGCGAACGCTGTCGGCAAAACAGGCAGGGAATAAGCAATAGTAAACTTGAGCAAACGAATGTGAATGATTAGTGGGATAACAGACACCCTCAGGGGGCACCTGGGCCTATAAGCTCATTTGTACAAGATAGACTGTGCAGATAACAGCATATGCAGAGCATATGGGAAGATGATAAAACATTGGAACATTTGCTCTGCCAATGTCCAGCGTTTGCAAAAATCCGAGGACTCTATACCAGACTTAAATCAGACAAGGCTATGTAAAATAAAACAGTTAAGGAATTTTGTTAATTGGTTAATTTCAAATATAATATACTGTAAACTACAAGTCTTCTTTCAACAACCTCTTAGTCTAGAGCGCAAAACAACAACAAAAAATCGAATAGATTTGGATGATATAAATTCTTTAATTCATAACAAATATGGGATAAATTATGTATTTATGTTAAAGCCATACTAAAAGCCATACTCATATTTCCAAATAAATGAATTAAATTCTAAAATAGGTATGCATTGCTTCATTCACTCATTCGCTAAAATATTAACACACATGGTTTTATTGGTTCACATTTATTGAAACATCAAATAGGATGATATAGATAAATATTTATTTCAGGTATCTATTTTATATAGCAATAAATTTTCCATTGCCGTTTTTGCAACTTCAGTTGAGGGAACATCATATGGATAAGAGAGGTATGTGCTTTGTTGGTATTTATTAATATTACACATGCTATTGTTAAAATGCAACACGGGGAAATATACGGGAGGTAAGTAGGATGTCACAGAATGATCTACAGAAGTACGTGGAGTAACAGCCATATCTAGTGGTACTTGTTTGAGACCGATATTGCTATCATAAACACTTCGCCGATGTGCTATCTTAAGTCGCGAAGTCAGTTGTTTCTTCCATTTTGTTCTCCTGTTTTGAAACCATGTTTTTACTTGAACTTCTGTCAGATTTAAAGTTTTAGAGAGTTCCATACGTTTGCTAACGCTAAGGTATTTATCTTCTTTAAACTCACTCTCAAGTCGATCTAGCTGTTTGGCACTATATGCTTGCCTCGGCTTACGTTCAAGTCCTTGTTTTCGGGAACGTTTGGCTAAAAAATATGAATGTGAATAAAAATGTGAACAAGCTTAATAAACCTTTATAAATATATGCCGTCGAAAAGGGTGATGACAATTATCGTTTGAAATTATTTTTGTTTATTTATTCTCTTTCAAGTTTATGGAGACAGATTTCTACTTCGATATGTGTTATAACAGTTTTCGACTCGTTCATATAAATGTGATTTTTACCTTGCAGTCCTATTAACTGGAGATGGTTATACATAAAGTGTGTCATCATGTTCGCTGATTTTTTTGCTCCAACAAATTGTGTGTAGATCGCGGGGGCCACATTATAACTAGAATATGAATTTAATGGATCCTGGATACCATCATTTTGTGCTGTAAGTAAAAAAACATTTGTGAGCTATTAAGTAGTATATTTTACTTATTTACTAGCTGACCCGGTCCGCGTTGCTGGCCCTACGTTTTAGTGTTTAATCTTTATTTTTAAGAACATTATAATCCTTAAATTAACTTGAATGGTCTTAACCATATAAAATGCAATATAATTTAATTTCTGTTAAAAACAAAATAAAGTGTAATTTGATAAAGTTTCCTGATAAGTAAATATTTCTGTAGTAGTTTATTATATGTTCTATATAAAAAGTCTTAAAAAATTATATTGTAAGTTTATCATATTTTGTGGCTTAATATGAAATTAATTGTTCACTTTTTGATTTATTTAAATAGACGAATTTCCCCAGAAGAAGTCGCCAAAACATCGACGAAATGTAGGGAATAAAATACAAAATGAAATAAAAGAGCTAAAATACTCAACCACAGAAATAATCATTGGCCCAAAATAACAACGACATTTTCTGTAGTTTGTAGGTTTCGTTCACCGAATCGGCAGTAATTTCTTAATATAAATAAACACTTGCTGCTTTAAAGCACTTAATCATATTTTCAAGCCCCGTTTATGCAACTTAACCCATTAAGAAAAATTATATATTTATTTCAATTTTTATTTTACATGTTTTAATTAAATGGGCTGTACGGAACTATTTGAAATTGTGCTGTAAGTTATCTTGAAGTTGAGTTGAAGACAGCCAAAATAAACTCCTCTTTTATGCCTACAATCATAGATGGGGTAAAATTCTACGTCGACTGAACTATGTCCATCTGTGCACCCGCCCTTCCCTTAGGATCATGATAAAGGTAGCATTATACAAGATACATGTTTAAAACTTTGCACAGGTGCAAATATTATTCTTATGATAATTTATATTGGGAGGTATATCAATTCCCGTTTTCGTGAGGTCCTCATATAATTCCATTAGTTGACACTCGCCATTTTGCACAACCTTGCCACATTCTGAATGAATGAGCTCCGTTATTTAAACGAAATCGTTTCCGGCTATAATTGTATAGCCTAGCCAGAGATGCCTTCCGCGAATGCTTCGGGGAGCCCAACAGACACAATTTTTATACCCTCCACCATACTATGGAGGGTATATTAATTTTGTCATTCCGTTTGTAACTCCTCAAAATACTCATGTCAGACCCAACAAAGTATATATATTGTTTCAAATTTGGCATTTGAAGTTCGTAATGGATACTACAGCCTAAGACAGAAAATAATCTGTGTAGGTCCACGTCTTCGTATAGCCCCTATATAACGGTACCCCCCGATATTCGGTATTTTTGATGATTTTAGCGACATTATTTAACTGAATCGTTCCAAATTTGGTATTTGAAGTTCGTAATAGATACTGCAGCATAAAACAGAAAATGGGTCATGTAGGTCCACGTCTTCGTATAGCCCCCATATAACGGTACCCCCCCCCCCCATTTTCGGTATTTTGATGATTTTAGCGACATTATTTACAGGGATTGTTTCAAATTTCGCATGTGAAGTTCGTAATGGATAATTCAGCCTATGTCAGAAAATTGTCTGTGCAGGCCCACGTCTTCGTATAGCTCCCATATAACGGTACCCCCTATATTCGGTGTTTTGATGATTTTAGCTACATTATAAACAGATTTTTCTTCAAGTTTCGCATTTAAATATTGTAATAACTCGCAGGTCCACGTCGTCTTATAGGCATTCGGTATTTTTAAGATTTTAACATAATTTTTAACGGATTATATTTATTTATTTTTTTGGAAATTGTTAAATTTGTACCAAATGGTGGAGGGTATTAAAAGTTCGGCCCGGTCGGACTTACAGCTTTTTTACTTGTTTTTTAAACAAACTGTACAGAACATATCTAAAAAAATTACCCATTCCCCAATATACGGTGGTTCATAGGTATTTTCATGCTTGAGAAGATTTAAGATCAAATTTGTTTCAGTTTAGCATTTCTCAGAGAGTATATATTTTATATAGCGTAAATCTTGATATCCGGCACACTGAAAGAAAAATGCTTCGTTGTATCAATGAACCGGTTTCGTTGATTTTTTTTTCATTGATGCAATGAAAAGCTACATTAATATAATAAATTTTTTGTTCATGCAATGAAAACTTACGTTGCTTTTAATTCAATGGTTTTTGGTTTCATTGAATATATGAAACGGATTTCATTAATGTTACGAAATTACTTATTTTTACAAAATTCAGTAAAAAATGTGAATATAGAAATTATACATAACAGCGCTGTCTGATACAAACTAGTACGCAACCAGTATTTATAATTAGAGGCAAAATTGTGATAATTGTTATATTTAAATTTGTGCTCCAATTCAATGAAGCAGTTTCATGAAATGGATGAAACGTTACGTTATGGAGTTCGTTCTTAGACCAAACATATGATACATGAAAAATTTCATATCAATTGGACAATAAAGGCGATCTGCATTTTGTTCATAAAAATACATGAGCAGACGGTCAGACTGACATGCATAAACCGACTCACAACGTGATCATCCAAAAACGTAGGGTTTATCTCGCGTATTTCTACCTGTAAACAAACAAATGCACAACGACAAATTACCCACTACCACAGTGTGGTAGAGGTATAAAGAAGTTAGACCGAAGAAGACTGAGCTTTTAATACCCTCCGCCATTTTCATTTCACTGAATCAAGGAAGAATTTTCATTATATTAATGAACAATTTCGTTAATTTTACATTAATGAAAATCAATGAAACTTTTTTCATTTATTCAATGAACCTCTACGTTGGTTCAAAATCAATAACAAATTTCATTGACGGAACGTAGGATTTCATTTATGGTATGAAACTTTTTCTTTCAGTGCACTTCTATGATACAAATCTAAATTTCCGACAAAACGAGATGCAATTTAACATTTTGGGGTTTAATGGAATGAGAAATTGCCATACGGCATAAGGCCCACGTTTTGATATAAGCTCAACATAGATTGTTGGTCGATTTAGGAACAAAGTCATAATACGTATCATATTGTTCAATAATTTTATTTTCTTCGTTTTTTCTTTTAATCAGATCAAAATCAAAACCAAATATATTAAAAAAATTTACAATTCAAAATGGAAAGTCAACGTGAAAAAATATTATGCGGTGTAAAAAAATTACAAAAAATATTTGACAAAATGTAATAGAATCATTCGCAATCCGAAGTGGTGAAACTTACAACAATCAGTTCAGCCATTCATTAGTTATAATTGTAGTAATTAACATGAAAGAGGTATAGCGATACCTTCCAATACTCAGAATTTTTATGATTTTACAGACATTGTAGACCAGAATTGTTTCAAATTTCAATGTCAAAGTGTAGGTCTTCGTATAGCCACCATATAACGATACCTCCTGATATTCGGTATTTTGATGATTTAAGCGACATTCAACGGATTTCTTTTAAATTTCGTATTTGAAGTTAAGAGTCGGTACAATGATAAAAAAATATATATTAATATATATAATTCAAACCTAAAACCGCATAAGAATATCGCAATGAACTGTAAATATGAAATATTTTTGTGATATAACTCAAGAAACGCTGATCTGATTTTAACGATTCAGATAAATTTAGAATTGTCTATTGTAAAAAAAGATAAAATCAAAAAAAAAAAATCGCGTATATATGATAAATTTGATCATTTTCATTTTGACTTTTGAAATGTACAATACTAATCTTTTATTTTGCATACGTTTTTATACCCTCCATCATACTATGGAGGGTATATTAATTTTGTCATTCCGTTTGTAACTCCTCGAAATACTCATGTCAGACCCAACAAAGTATATATATTCTTGATTAGCGTAAAATTCTAAGACGATTTAGCCATGTCCGTCTGTCTGTTGTAATCACGCTATCTTTCGAACAAATTGAGATAGAAAGCTAAAATTTTGCACACATGTATATTTTGCCAGTAGGCAGGTTAAGTTCGTAAATGGGCCATGTAGGTAAAATTTATCATATAGCCCCCATATAACGGTACCTCCCGATATTCGGTATTTTGATGATTTTAGCGACATTATTCACCGGAATTGTTTCAAATTTTCATTTGAAGTTCGTAATGGATACTACAGCCTAAGACAGAAAATTATTTTTGCAGGTCCACGTCTTCGTGTAGCCCCCATATAACGGTACCCCCCCCCCCCATTTTCGGTATTTTGATGATTTTAGCGACATTATTTAGCGGAATCGTTCCAAATTTGGCATTTGAAGTTCGTAATTGATACTGCAGCATAAAACAGAAAATGGGCTATATAGGTCCACGTATTCATATAGCCCCCATATACCGTACCCCCCGATATTCGGTATTTTGATGATTTTAGCGACATTATTTACCGGGATTGTTTCAAATTTCGCATGTGAAGTTCATAATGGATGCTTCAGCCCATGCCAGAAAATTGTCTGTGCAGGTTCACGTCTTCGTATAGCCCCCATATAACGGTACCCCCTATATTCGGTATTTTGATGATTTTAGCTACATTATAAGCAGATTTTTCTTCAAGTTTCGCATTTAAATATTGTAATAACTTATGACAAAAGTTGCCTATGCAGGCCCACGTCGTCGTATAAGCATTCGGTATTTTTAAGATTTTAACAGAATTTTTAACGGATTTTATTTTATTTATTTATTTATTTTATTTTTTTTTTTTTGGAAATTGCCAAATTTGTACCAAATGGTGGAGGGTATTAAAAGTTCGGCCCGGCCGAACTTACAGCTTTTTAACTTATTCCATTTTGACTTCTTATTTTCAAATGTTATTTTGTAGTGATTTTTATACCCTCCACCTTTGAAAGGAGGTTATATTAACTTTGTCATTCCGTTTGTAACATCCCTAAATATTCGTCGTAGACCCCACAATGCATATATATTCTTAATCAGCATAAAATTCTAAGACGATTTAACGATGTCCGTCTGTCTGTCTGTTGAAATTACGATACAGCCCACATTGTTTGCCGTATAGCATCAAAATTTAGCAGAATAATTTATATTGTGTCTAGGATGGTTGGTATTGAAAATGAGATATATCGGTCCACGTTTTGGTATAGTCCCCATATAACGGTACATCCCGATATTCGGTATTTTGATGACTTTTGCCACACTTTTTCAGGGATTTGTCTTAAAATTCGTATTTGTGGGTCATAATGGGTCCTAGTTCGTGCGGCGAAACATTGTATTATAGGTCCACGCTTTGGTATAGTCCCCATATATCGGTACCTCCCGATATTCGGTATTTTGATGATTTTTGCCACATTTTTCATGGATTTGTTTAAACATTGGTATTTGTTGGTCATAATGGATTATTGCTCCGGTGGCGAAACTTTGCATGTATAGGTTCACGTTTTGGTATAGCCCCCATATAACGGTACCTCCCGATATTCGGTATTTTGATGATTTTTACCACATTTTTTCACGGATTTGTCTTAAAATTGTTTTTTGTAGATCATAATGGGTCCTAGTTCGTGCGCCAAATATTGTATGTATAGGTCCACGCTTTGGTATAACCTCCATATACACATCTTCCGATATTCGGTTGTTGTTGTTGTAGCAGTTTTAACATGATCCGTTGTTTTTTCTGACTAATTCGGTTCTTCCTCAATGTCCAGGTTTAGGAATTCTGCTACCTTTATGCGCTGTAGCCATAGATTCTCTCGACGGAGTTGTGAAGGTTTGGCTGGACAATTAAACAGATGCAGCGTGTTGTGCGGGCCTGTATCGCACGCTGTGCAGGCGTTCCGCACATCCTCATCAATTCGTGCCCAATACGAATTGAGACGGCTGCTCCATCCTGAACGTAGATGGGCCAAAACTATCCTGGTTTGCCTAGGCAGCCGACGTTCTTCAGCTGCAATGGATGGGGGGTGGACTCCGAGTATGGCATTCATACTGTAATTATTAACTACCTCTGCGACTGCATCAGTATGAATGCTATTCAGACCCGCTTGATAGGCTTCATGATCTAGGGGCTCTCTCTTATATGGCTGGACCTCTCTCTCTAGATCATGCAGGTCCTTCCTGACACGCCTGGGTGGGGGAGTTCTATCCACCATATGGTGGTTAGGGTGACTCCCACGATAACACCCAAGCAGGTACTGCAACGAAAGCATATGATTATGCTGACGTAAGGAAGAACTTTCGTCTCCCCATGTAAATGGTCCACAGGAGTCATGAGGAGGCACCCTGTTGCAGTTCTCAGGGCGGCATTCTGGCAGGTCTGAATACTTTTCCACTGCGTTGCACTTGTATTCGCCGACCACACTGGAGCCGCATAGCTAAACACAGACCGACCAATCGCTTTATAAGAGGTTTCCTTATCCGCACCCCAAGTGCTGCCGGCTAGCGCCTTGAGTACCTTGTTCCTACTTTTCATTTTATCGCAAATCGCTGCGGCTTGCGCGGAAGACTTGAACATCCTATCGAATGTGACCCCAAGGATTTTGGGGTAGTTGGTGGTTGGAATTATGTGCCCCTCGACCTGCACATTCAGCACTGAAAAAAACATACACAACATACACCTATGATACAGGAGCTTGAGATCACTGCTCCCCCACTATGACCACCCATCCTTGACCCTTTAGTCCAAATACACTCAAAAAATTTAAAAGGGCCCCAAAAAGCCACACACACTCACTTACAACGCCTAACCTCCTGGCGCTTTTAGCCTTACTGTGCTTTATTTATGGTCCCCAAGGACGCTCAACCAAACTTTCCCTCTTTTTCACGATTTTCCCACAATTTCACTGACATTTATTATTTATCTTTATCAGGTGTTCTACCTACCCACTATCATCCCCAGTGTTGTATTTTTGCCACACGTCTCTCATGTTGTGTAACGACACGATTTCCGCCGTTGCTAGGATAAGCTCGCGGTGGCCAAGGTGCGTCACAGAAATTTGTTTATTTCAGCGACTTAAGTAAGGAGAAGGTTTCAAATTTTGTCTTGGGAGAGATACCCAGGTTTATTTCACTTATTTTTATTTTATTCGTAAATTCAGGCTGGTTCACTTGTGTGGCCAACTCGACGATCGTCCGGCGACGTGTCCTGGCAAGTTCCTGATGGGAGGCTGCTTCGGGGGGTTCTGGCTTCCAGCGGCTTGGGAAACTCACTGGCTCTATTATGGGGGTCCTATGTTGGGTTCTGGAACCGTGGGTACGCGGTCTCCCGTGGCTGTCGAACTCGCGGGAATAGATTTCCTTGGTGTTGTCCCTCCTTTCAAGAGTGGCTCTTCCAACTCACTCTTCTGCGGAGCAACCTGAGGACTTTTAGGAACTGGGACCCTTTCTCTGAGTGGCGTAGGGAAACTCACTCTTAAGGCTTTGTGTCCGAGAGTCTTACCTGGTATCCTCCTTGGGTATCGTATCACGGTCTTCTCAGTTCCCGCACTCGTGTTACCGGTTTTCACTTGATTGATCCCCACTCACAGCGAGCCACTCCTTTTATAGGGATCAGGACGGTGTGCTTGCTTAAAGGTGCCCTACAGACGTATGTTGTTGCTACCTTTTACTCGCAGTTCCTTTGCATAAACAAGTTGTTTACACCTTAGCGGTGCTTCAAAGGGCTCCACCTACGCCTGTTGTTGCTACTTGTTTTTCTCGCGATCACTGCATAAACAAGTTGTTTACTCCTTGGTGTCGATGGGGAATGCCTTACACATGCATGTTGTTGCTACTTGTTTTTCTCGCGATCACTGCATAAACAAGTTGTTTACTCCTTGGTGTCGCTGGGGAATGCCTTACACATGCATGTTGTTGCTACTTGTTTTTCTCGCGATCACTTGCATAAACAACTTGTTTACTCCTTTACATCGCTGGAGAATGCCTTACATATGCATGTTGTTGGTACTTGTTTTTCTCCAGCGAGACATTTGGATCATCGACGTAAACAAGTTGTTGACAATTTTGGCTACTGAAAATAGTTGTGGCAGTAATCCTCGTTCACAACAATAAAACCTTAGGGACGTATAGAAGTTATGGCAAATCATGTATGTTTAATTAAATTAATATATTCAATTCAAATATAAAAAAAACAATTCATTTTAATACTAGTAATTAATTATGTCGATGCACAGCATCGGGATGTGGAGCCGGAAACAAGTTCCGACTTCCGGCGTTACAGTTGTCAAAAAAAACTATGAGACTTGGCATAACTTTTGAAAATTTAGCTGGCCGCCCTGCGTATCCGGTTCTCTTTTTTGGCTGGCGTTCAGGACGTTCGGTGGATCAAATTCCACATTATAAAAATTGTAATTATAATGGTGATGAACGCAAAAAAAACTTCACCACTTTAGTAAAAAAATTAAAGAAAGTGGTGATGTGCGTAAATCTTTACGTCCTGTGGAGCGGATTGAGTTTCTTTTCTTCACCACCATCAGTCCACCCGTCAGTCGACGTGACCAAACAAATTTTCCAGTGTCTCATTTTTCCCATTCGGATAAAGGTAAGTATTCTCTTTTGCAATAAACTACCCCCAGAAATATAATCAATTCCTATTCTTATTCCCATTCTTTTCTTGCAGACGAATCTAAAAATTACCTGATTATATTAATTCTTGGAAGTCTCATGCTAGGAACACAATTGGAGCGAACGACGAATTTTTTCGCGGCGTATGTTCGTCGTCAAAAATAAAACACATATGTGTATATGGAAGTGCACACAATCACGGCACCGGCGAAAATTTCGTCGGTCGCCGCGAACTCAATTAGCTTTATTTCTATTTCATACGCCGGCGACCGGCGAACAAAATAGTACAAGGTGGCCATACTTGTACGAATTTTATGTGTTTTAGTAAATAAAGTTACTTTTTACTTTAAAATTTGTTATGGTCACTCTACTATCTGTTACTCGTATAAAAAAAACATAATTAATTTGTTTATTTATTTGTGTACTTGCGCCTGAGTGAAGATGGATATCAGTGAATTTATAATAGAGAAGATGGACATAAGTGAAATTATAATAGAGAACGTAAAGAATTATGTGTTCTTGTATAATTCATTGTAGTCAACAAATGAGCAAAAAGTAAACAACTTCATCAGCTGTTTTATAATTTCGTCGGTATTGTGTTCCATACGACGAATTTTCGCGGCTCATTTTGTCGCTGCGTAGGGCGAAATTCGTCGTTCGCTCCAATTGTGTTCCTAGCATCATGCGTAAGTATGTGTGTGTGTGTGCAGGCACGCTGCATCCATTGAAAAACTCTATTCACACACACATGCACGAAGTAGCCGCAGTCGTGTAAACGTACATTAAGGGTGCGCAACGCCGTTAATTTCCCTACACCGATCATTCATGCCTTTCGTATGAATCCCCACGTGATGTTGATGTTGTGTAATGCGGCAGCTCATTCAACCATGAAAATTTTCCAATCGGACAAACTAATGAAAGGTAATGACGTTTTATAAAAATAATGTATTCGTTCATTCTAACTTGTTGCTTTTTATTCTAAGAGAAATTTGGCGGACTGCCCGGCAACCATCTCTCGTGAATCTCTTTGGACAATTGGAAAACGCAGACCGTGGAAACATCTATTTGTTTACAATGGTAACTTCGCTCACAAATTTTCAACATACCCCGAAATGCATGAAAGGGGTTGATTTCTACCCGTTGGACGACGGTGCTAAATGCAACATCTTGTGCAGGTAGTGACTTTGTTGTTTATGCATTTGCAAAACAATAGTTTTATTATGATTTTTTTCTTTTCAGGTAACCGGCTATGTTTGTGTGTCGAAAATGCATAAAACAAATAAAGTGAAAGTGAGAACTATTTAAAATTAGCAGTGCGTCTGCCTGAAGCTGTTTTTATACCCTCCACCTTGGAAAGGAGGGTATATTAACTTTGTCATATTAACTTTGTCTGTCTGTCTGTTGAAATCACGATACATTTGCCACGATACATTATTTGACGTAGAGCGCCAAAATTTAGCAGCTATTTGTATTGTGTCTAGGATGGTTGGTATTGAAAATGAGATATATCGGTCCACGTTCTGGTATAGTCCCCATATAACGGTACCTCCTGATATTCGGTATTTTAATTTTTTTGCCACATTTTTTCACGGATTTGTCTGAAAATTGGTACTTGAAGGTCATAATAGGTCCCTGTGCTTGTGGCAAAACATTGCATGTATGGGTCCACGTTTTGGTATAGCCCCCATATAAAGGTACCTCCCGATATTCGGTATTTTAATTTTTTTGCCACATTTTTTCACTGATTTGTCTAAAAATTGGTATTTGTTGGTCATAATGGGTTCCAGCTCCGGTGGCGAAACATTGCATGTATGGGTCCATGATTTGGTATAGCCCCCATATAACGGTACCTCCCAATATTCGGTATTTTGATGGTTTTTGGTATTTGTGGGTCATAATGGGTTCTAGTTCGTGTGGCGGGTCATTGTAATTATAGGTCCACGTTTTGATATAGTCCCCATATAACGGTACCTCCCGATATTCATTATTTTGATGATTTATGCCACATTTTTTCAAGAATTTCTCTAAAAATTTGTAGTTGTAGATCATAATGGGTCCCAGTTTGTGTGGCGAGTCATTGTAATTATAGGACCACGTTTTGGTATAGCCCCCATATAACGGTACCTCCCGATATTCGGTAATTTGATGATTTTTGCCACATTTTTTTTCACGGATTTGTCGGAAAATTGGTATTTATAGGTCATAATGGGTTCTAGCTACTTTGGCGAAACATTCTATGTGTAGGTCCACGATTTGGTCTAGCCCCCATATAACGGTACCTCCCGATATTCGGCATTTTAATGGTTTTTGCCACATTTCTTCTAATGTTTCCTTTACCCTAAGGTGGAGGGTATTAAAAGTTAGGCCCGGCCGAACTTAATGTTTTTTTGTGAACATAAATTGCCGGGGAATAAAAATGAAGAGATTCTGTGCGGATTGATAGATTGTCAAGAAACGCAAATAGGACAATTAAATGGAATTCCAATAACTGATTGGCGTAGTTGCAGAACTTCGTCGAAAAAAGGTTGTTTTAGAATAGTGTACTACAAGCGTACGAAAAGTACTTTGTTTGGTATTGGAAGAAAATAAAAGACATATAAGACTTTCTGATGGAAAGAAGCAAAAATGATCCCAATTATTCTTTCCCAGAACTCATGGTAGAAAAATACAGGTAACAGCAAGTGTTGTTGTACAACAAACGCAACAACAACCACATACAAATTTGTTTTTGTCTATTGTTTTATGTCTAAAAATGTAAACAAGACAATTAATTTTCATTAAATTATTTGAAATTCAAAAATGCTCATTTTTGGAATGTGGATTTCTGAATTAAAAATGGAGAACGAATACTCGAAAAAAGTTTAATTGTAATGCTTTAATACATTTGCCTTGAATGTGCAGAATTTCGGTATAAATATGGAAACAAATCCCATACACCGCCGTTAGCGTTTAATAAGATCTAATATCGTTTATATCCAATTATTGAGAAAAATATTTCACATTGCACAACAGTGAAAATTTGTATCAAAAAAGCTAAAATTACTAACACAGGTTTATGGAATGCTATTTTACTATGCAATTTTGAACTTTAAATTGGAACAATGCAAAAGAGCAAGAAAAATCTTTTTCGCAAATTTTAAAACCTTGCTGAAAAGTCTTGAGTTCGGGTGTACAAAATACTTTGTACATACTTTTGAGTGCGGTTGAGGCGCTGGGAAAATCTAGCAATAAACAATAAATATTCTAAAATTACATGTTTCCCAGCCGCCATAAAATACCACATGTGAACAATTCGGTGATCTTGTGTGCTGACGCATACGATAATGTGTGAGATAATAAAGGTTATGACCCACACGCACAGATATCAATGCGCTCAGTAGATGCACAAGACCACTTGAATGAGATGTCAAGCAGCCCTGCAATGTTCTCTATTCAATATTAGAATAGATAAGAACAATTTTGTGGCTGCGACTAGGTTAAGATAGATTAGTTTCAGTAGTATGTAAGAAACATATTTTAGAAATAAAATCAGAATTGAATCAACAGCCAAACCATTCGGCTGGTTTTCTTCTCAATCATCGGGGTTGCTAATTTTCCAAAGAGAAAGAGGCAAGCTGATAAAAGGTTGTGAATTGTTTGCTATATTCTAATTCTGTAACATTAGATATTTATTGGTGAGACAAAATTGAGAAAATGGGTATATAAAAAAATTGACAAAATTTTCTGAAAATACAGAATACCTATGATTTCAATGGATCAAAAACACAGAATATCATAAAGGGACATGAAAAAAAAATTATATGACTATTTTTATGCATTCATCGAGAGAAAAAAAAGAATATTGGAGGATGATACATAATCATTATTAATAGCAAAAAAATGTTTGGAGATGGTACAATTGAAAATCAAGAGCACTACAAAGGGAATATGATTTAATTGTTCCCTTATTCATATTACCATATTATATTGTTGCTATAAAATACTATCTCTTTTAATCTTATATGTGAACATATGTATGCTTCTTAAATACTTTATCAAAAATCAACTAAATCTGTGATAATTGTAATGTGAAAAATATGGGTTACAAGGAAATAATGGAATGCTTTAAATCGATGTTGTCGATGGTTGTTAGGAAGAAATCTACGGAATTTTTCCATGAATATAAATGGACTTTGTTCGTTTGAGACAATAAGAGCTGGTGGCTATTGTATTTTGAAAGAAATTAAAAGGAATATTGATCTTTCTACCTTTGTTGTTCACAACGTGGGGAACTCCCACACTCTGAAGCCTCATTCAGCCGGCTCTTTAGCTGTTATCTTTGCTTTAGACATACAATTTTAAACAAAGTTGACAATAACGACTGAGAAAAAAATTCTGAGCAATACAAATAAATAAATTGGGACAATCACGAACTAATTTACTTATCTTATATTGCCTAGTAAATTTTATATCACAGATTTTTATTATTGCGTATTTCGTTTCTAATTGCATATTTATTGCACAAGACCCTCACTTTGTCTACATCCTTGTCTCATTGATAATAAAAACTTTAAATTTATTAAACTATTTTTTTGTATAATAACACGATACATTATAAATTAAAAAATAGACATACACTGCATACGTTTTATTAATTATATTGCACTTAAGTACTTATATCACAGATTTCTCACGTCATTTTAAACTTTTATATCCTTGACATGGAAGTTCCCAAGAGATTTCCCTTGTAGAGTTTCCAGCTCATACATATTGTTTCCGACGGGTCTCACGATTCTGCACTTCAGAAACTTCTTGCAAAATTTCGCATTTATATTATTTTTGAAATCTGAAAGAACGTGATTCCTTCGAAAAACTTCCTGGCCTGGACGAAAAGTTACATTTCGCGACCTGCTATTGTACCTTTTGGCATTGGACTCATAGCTTGATGCATGTTTTTCTTAATGTTTTCTCTCATTAATTCTAACCTATCCGTTCTATTTAATTGTACGATTTGGTGGTCAGTAAACGATTTGAGTTTCTTGGCTAATCTATAATCATTTCCCTTGGTAAACATATTGTATCCGAACAATGCAAAGGATGGGTTGACAACTGTGGCGGAATGTACCGAAGTTCGGAGGCCTTGCTCGATTTCAGATGGGTATAATTCCCAATCTCGGTGATCTTTCTCGACATAAGTCCTTATAGCCGCCAGTACAGACTGGTTCACTCTCTCTGCCGCATTTGATTGTGGAGAGTAGTACGCTGTCGTTAAATGGTTTATTTTGTAATTCTTAACCATTTCTTGAAACAGATTTGAGACAAAATGTTTTCCATTGTCACTATGGATTGTTTCTGGGACCCCGAAAACACGAAATACTTCGTTCTCCAGAAATTCCACGACGTTTTTAGCGGTAGCTTCTCTCATCGCATGTAAAAAGATGAATGTAGTGAAGTGATCCATGACTATAAAAATATAGGCATTTCCATTTTTGGATCTGGGATACTTTCCGAGGAAATCTACATAAAGTTTTTGGAATGGCCTTTCCGTTATAACCTCGTTTCCTACGGTAGGTCGCATAATAGTATTTGACGATTTGGTTTCTTTGCAGACTTTGCAATTGGACACGTAATTTTTTACTTGGCATGTCATTTTTGGCCAATACTAATACGTTTTCAAACGATTCATGGTTTTATTTATGCCATCGTGGACAGATTGATTGTAATTGTGGGCCTTCTCAATCATCGTATAGGTAATTTCTTCTGGTATCCACAATTTCCATTCAAATTCCATCGCGATTTCATTAAAATTGTTCACTCTTATGTAAACTTTGTCGTTGTCGACTTTCAAATCGGGTAATTTTTCTTGGTTTTCTATTATTGTTTTTCGCAACTCCAGGTACCCTTCGCTGTTAAAAACGGTGGTTTCGAAATCTAGAATATTATCGTTAGTGGTTTCTTCGACTGCTATTTCCGATTCATTTGGTAGATGGGATAAGGTATCAGCCACAACAAGATCCTTTTCGATTTTCAATAGAAAAATCAAAAGCTTGAAGCTGCAGAGACCATCTGGCAAGTCTTCCACTTAAATCTTTCAGTGACATAAGCCACTTGAGACTTGTGTGATCTGTGATCATGGTGAATTTCATGCATTCCACGTATGGCCGGAATCTTTTTACGGCGAGAATCGCAGCCAAACATTCTTTCTCAGTTATCGAATAATTTCTCTGACTTGAATTTAGTTTTTGCGAGTAGAAAGCAATTAGATATTCCCAACCATTATCATCCTTTTGGAAAAAACGGCTCCAATGCCGTACTCAGATGCGTCACACTGTATGAAAAATTCTCGCTGGAAATCTGGATGTCGAAGTACTGGCGCCGAGGTGAGAGCTTCCTTCAGTGTTCGGAATGATTCACGGGCTTGAGGTGTCATCGTAAATTTCTGCCCCTTTTTTAATGTATCAGTTAGGGCAGCGGATATGGAAGCGAAGTCTTGTATGGTGCGACGGTACCATCCGGGCGTTCCTAAAAAGCTCCTTACTTCCCTTGGAGACTTTGGTATCGGTATTTTTAGATTTGCGGTGACTTTTTCCGGGCCGGTTTTTAAACAGCTGTTTCCGATTATGAACCCAAGATATTTCAATTCACGGAAACAAAACAAAGATTTTTTGAAACCAAATGTTAACTTGGCCCTTTTTAAACAATCTGCTACCTCGCTCAACAATTTCAAATGCGTTTCACATTCATCAGATATAATTAGTAAACAATCTAGATATATGAACACGCTGGACTTCAGTTTACCAGGTATTACTCGATCCATCAAACAACAGAGTCGTTGCGCCGCATTGCATAGACCAAACGGCATTACCCTGAACTAGTATAGTGGTCGACCTGGTACTGTAAAGGATGTGTACGCTTTGGCTTCTTCTTCACGTTCTATTTGCCAAAACGCGTACTTCAGGTCGACACTGCTAATACAATGCGTTTGATCTATGCTACTCAATATCCCATCAATGTTCTGTAATGGATATGCATTCTTGATGGTCAATGCATTGAGTTTTCTCGCATCTAGACAGAATCTGTTTTTGCCTGGTTTTCGCACTACGGTTGTCCTGTTGCTCCACGGTGAATCGCTTTCTTCAATCACATTTAGTTTGATCATGTTATCAATTTCTCTATAGACTTTTTCCTGTACGGCGGGCGATTGAGGGTAATGTTTGTCCTTGACAGGATTTGCTCCTTCTATTAATTTGATGGCATGTTTCTCCAACTTGGTACATCCCAGTCCATTCTTTTCAAATGTCAGAAACTTGTTCACAACTTCATTCAGTTGTTGCTGTTGTTCCTCTGTTAGAACATGCATATTTTCATTATCATTAGTTGAATCCCCATGAATTTTTGTTGAAGATTTAGATTTATTTTTCTGTGGGAAATATTTCGGGTGCAATTCCAAATATTTTCCAAAAATCTATCCCTAAATATAATTCCTGTTCCAAATCAGGACATAGAAACAATGTCATTGCAGCTAACAGATTTAGCTACAATGACTGTAGCGCCAGAGTCTAATAAACCTCTAACTCCCTTTCCTTTAATTTGTATCGTGACGTATGGCCTTAAATCTGTTTTATATTGGCATTGGACTATCGATGCAGACACAGATTTCTTAAGTAATTTAAATTGTTTTTGCTTTTGCCTTAGTTTTGAAATTCTTTGCTTTTTCTTAAATCGCTTGCTATTATTTTCATTTTGATCTTCTTCTCCAAATATTCTTGACCTTATTTCGTTATAATTTTGTTCCCTGACCTCCAATGGTAAATAATGTCGAATTTTAGGGTAAATTTGTTTTTTGGTTTTACTTTTTTCTAAGTCGATTGTGGCTTCTGATCGGCGGGCTGCTCGGTAGAACGGTGGTTTCCCGCTGTAACCAGGTTCTTCCTCGAGTTTCCTAATCGACAATTTGCACACTTCGGTGTAATGGTATTCTGCTTTCCACACTTAAAGCAAAACAAGTTTCTTTGAATAGAAAGACAATCCCTGAATCCGTGGCCGGGAGTTTGGCAATTCCAACAAACCAATTGAATATTTATTACAGAAACATCTACTACTTCATCTGGTTCTTCGAATACCTGAAAGTTTTCTTGTTCATCCTCTTCATGCATTGCATTTACACGAGCTGGTTTATTGTAAGTAGGAGTAGTAACTGGGGCAGGATCGCGTCTAAAGAATGTCTTTTTAATCTCAATACACTCAATTCTCTATTGCTCAAGCGAGGGTAATTGCACTGAATAAACAATACCTGAAATATTCTTTCGCACATTTTTCTAAGCCAGGCAGATCATTTCATATTCCGAAGCTGCAATCTCGCATTTCTTCAAAACATGTTCTTTTGGTTTTGAACCTTTCAATGGTTTTGAACCTTTAATGACTGCCAAGTAGAAATATTGTTATTCATTTGTTCTAGCCAGAACCATTCATTAGCAGGGCCTGAAACTAAAACATGGAACTCATTCAAAATGTCTTTCCATGGAAGGTTGTAAAGCTTTTGAAAATGTTCTAGCCGGTATATAAAGTCTTCTACTGTCAAA